TCTCTCTCTCTCTCTCTCTCTCTCTCCCTCCCTCTTTCTCCCCTCCCTTCCCAGTCTGTCTGTCTGTCTATCTGTCTGTCTGTCTACCACTCTTAACTACCACTAATTTCACGAAACGATTCCAGAAATGTGTCACAAAGACATACCAAAACCATCAGAAAAATCCCGGAAAACTAGGTACGGTTCTCTGAGGTGTGTGGTAATGTCATAGACCCCAAAGAAAAAGAAAGCAGCAAAAATGCTCCATCCCGAAGCCTCCATATTTTTCTTCGGAGGCCACTCCTATTGACTTGGCGTTAGACTCCATAGAAAATTCTCCCAAATTATCGTTTCTCATTTTGTCCGAAACCTTGTCTTGCCTCACTTCACTCACCAATCTTCTTCTCTCCCCCTTCACCTATCCCGTAGACTGGATGTCCGTTGTGGCGCTATTGAAGATTTGGCCACCAGCTTCCTCCACTCCTTCCGCTCTTCAGATTTCCTGAGCGTGTCTTTGAGGTCCGGGCCTGTCCATTCTTTGATTTTGTCCTTCCAACTCTTCTTCGGTCTGTCTCTGCTCCCTTTCCCCTGGACGCTGCCTTGCAAGATCATCTTGGCAAGGCCGGATGAACGGATGACGTGTCTATGCCATTGCAGTTTGCATTTCCTGACCAAAGTGAGGTCAGGGTATGGTCCAATTGCATTTTTGATCCGTTGTTCGACTTCATCATTTGTGATGTGATCTTTTATGAGATACTAAAGACTTTTCGGAAGCATCTCATCTCCACAGCTTTGATCCTTCTTTCAAGTTCTGCATTCAAGGTCCAGGATTTACATGCATACAAAAATACTAACATGACCAGGGAACGAATGAGTCTGATCTTTGATCTGATGGTAATATTTCTGTCTTTCCAAATGGTTTTTAACTTGGTCATTGCTGCTGAAGTTTGCCCTATTCTGGAGAGTATTTCTGGTTTTGATCCTTTGTTTGTCATTGCACGCAGGTACTTGAAGCTGCGTACGGTCTCAAGCTTCTGATTGTTGACTGGA